AGAGATCGACTATACGCACTGAGTCATGCCATGCAGGCCCAGGGGAGGTGGGGGGGAAAGGGGGAGGAGGGGAAGGGGGGGAAGGAGGGAAAGGGGAGGGGGAAGGAGGGAAAGGGGGAGGGGGAAGGAGGGAAAGGGGAGAGGGAGGGGGAACGAGGAGGAGGTGGAAGACCAGACGGGGAAGGTGTTCCTCCTGTATTTCGAGGTGTGCGCTGGCTGACCTGCCACTGCGGATTAAACTACAAAAGGTCTTTTGAAGGATGCGTCCCATTCTACCAAATGGCGGTAGAAAGAATAAACGCCCTCGTGTGTGTGTGGGGTGAGGGTGTGTGTGAACTTCTTCCCTAAGTCACACATATGATTACTATTTTGCAATTCTCACGAGGCACTTCAAGGATTTATGGTAACGAGGGATCACCTGAAGATTAACCACCCTTAACACTACCTGGGAGTTTAGCTTAGGTTAGGTTATCGTTAGGGTGGTTAGGTTAGGTTATCGTTAGGGTGGTTATTCTTCAGGTGAAATAAGCTAATTAACGCTGGATACATTTTTCGAATAATCCTCATAACGAGACTAACAGACACAGATGAACATTACACCCCCTCCCTTCCCTCTCATCCTCAATACGGGGCATAATAAAATATATAACTCTTACCTATATCATTGTAAACATTAATAAAAATACACAACACAATTACAAGAAAACAACAAAACATTTACCTGTTCGAAAAACTGTGACGTCACTTGACTTCTGGGTAATGGCGACCAAAGGAACATAAGAACATAAGAACATAAGAATGGAGGAAACTGCAGCGGGCCTATTGGCCCATACTGGGCAGTCCCGTTTACACCCAACCCCTATTGCTCATATGAGCATCCAACCTATGTTTGAAGCTATTCAGCGTATTCGAGTTAATGATGATATTTGGTAACTTGTTCCATTCATCCACTACTCTGTTTCCAAACCAGTGTTTACCTATTTCACGCCTAAATCTAAATTTGTCTAATTTAAACCATTGTTACGAGTTCGCTCCTGGTTGGATAGTTTGAGTACCTTAGTAATGTCCTCTTTGTTTAGCCCTGTCTTCCACTTATACACCTCTATCAGGTCGCCCCTCGCTCTACGTCTCTCAAGGGAGTGCAAATTAAGATGCTTTAACCTGTCTCTATATTCAAGGTTCCTAATGCCCGGGATTAGTCTTGTCATTCTTCTCTGAATTCTTTCCAAGGATTCTATATCCATTCTGTAATACGGTGACCAGAACTGAACGTAATCCAGGTGTGGTCTCCAAGAGCAAGATACAGTTTTAGGATGACCTCGCTAGTCTTGTAACTAACACTCCTTTGTATGAACCCAAGTACTTTATTAGCCTTTTGTTACGAGCAAAAACACATTGTTTACTGGCTTAAGGTTCCTACTTATCATTACTCCTAAATCTCTCTCAGTCGGATTTCTATGGCATCGTTGTTCATCTGGTATCTGGTTTCCTGTTTACATCTCCTATACTGAGTACTTTACATTTGTCCACATTGAATTTCATCTGCCATTTTTCAGACCATTCGAAAAATTTGTTTAGATCTTCCTGTAGTTTTGCGGAGTCCTCGTCAGATTTAATAACACGTCCTATTTTAGTGTCATCAGCAAATTTACTTATGTTGGTACATGCCGATATCTATGTCGTTTATGCATATATAAATAATAATGGTCCAAGTACTGAGCCTTGGGGAACTCCACTTGTGACGTTGTTCAATGGGATTTAGCCGTTAATGCTCACTGCTGTTTCCTGTCCTGTAACCACGCCTCATCCATTTAGGATATCACCTTTGATGCCATGTGCTTTACCTTTCTTATTAGTTTTTCGGGACTTGTCGAAGGCTTTGCTAAAGTCGAGATATATACCACATCATAATTGTGCCCCTCGTCCACCGATTCGAAAAACTGATGAAAAGAATGTTAATAGATTAGTTACAAGAACGCCCGCTAGAAGCCATGCTGGGAATCATTGATCAATCTAGTGCTTCTCCAGGTGATTTCGAATAGAGTTTGAAATGATTGCTTCCAGTAATTTGCCTACTATTGATGTTAGACTGATTAAAGTAGTTAGAGGATAGTGATCTATCCTCTTCTGAAAATCAGTATTACATTCGCTATCCTCCAGGATTCTGGTACTACACCTGTTTTTAAGGACATGTTAAACAACTTTGCTAAGGGCATACTAAGCTCTTCCTTACATTCCTTTAATACTCTGGCAAATATCTCATCGGGACCAGGTGACTTATTAGGCTTTAGTTTGTCTATTTGCTTACTAACATCGTTACTAGTCACTACTATCTCACTTAATTTGTTTTCTTCACTATCTCTGAATAGAGTCGGTGCCTCGGGTATCATGTTTAGATTTTCGGTGGTGAAAACTGTTGAAAAATATTTATTCAAATTATTGCTCATTTCTCCGTCGTTATCAGTGAGCTCGCCGGAGTCTGACCGTATTGGTCCAATCTTTTCTCGTGTTTTAGTTTGATACATTTGGTAGAATCCTTTGGGGTTTGTCTTCGCCTCCCTTGCTATCCTTACCTCATTATTCCTCTTTGCTTTCCTTATCTCGGTTTTAACTCTACTCGCCAATACCCTATAATAGTCCCGGAGGTGAATTTCGCCACGTTTTATCCTTCTACCTATAGCCTTCCTTTGGCCAATGATGTTCTTTAAATAATTATTTATCCATTTAGGAAGAGTCAAGTCTCGGCAAGTTTTTAATTATCTTGTGTGGTTGAAGAGTAAAGCCTATTGGATGTATGTAATTACAAACTATTAAGATTGTTCGGTAGTTTAAACGTCTTTAGTTATGGCAGTTATAGAGTTTTGGTCTTAATGTCAAGAGACCGTAAGGGTGAGGTGATTTCAGTGTGACAGTGACCTAAGTCATTGACCAGCCGGGAGTAGTCAGTGTTTTGATTCGTTCTTTAAAGCGAGACAATGATCACAAGCACCGTTAGCGTCACTGAAGGCACAAAACACTCATAAATGTCATCACTGTCACAACATTGGCCAAATTTGCTCTGGAATTGAGAAAACATACACTTTAACTGTTCGTCTCTGTCCACCATTACCGACACCAGTCAACAAATCTTTCCACATGTTAGAGAAGTACCCTGAGCAGAATTGCAAAACCATATATATTTTATATAAGACAGATAAAAAGAATAAATTTAACGGAAAAAAATATGACCTGAAATTCCCTTAACATCAGTAAATTTAGTTTCATTATATTATTTTATGTCGTCTAAAAAAAATGTAGTTTAAAGTTCATGTGCGCGGTACATAATTAACAGCATCATACATTTTACCGCCGTCACAAACATTAATCAAACTACAATCGAATTCTCAGTTGCGTTAGATATTCCAACTTAACTAATTATTTATGAAGACAGATATATAACTAACTTATTTAAATAAACAATAAATATAGTGGAGTATAGCTATATAATACGTGGCGTCGAAATTACCTTGTAACTACGCTAAATACACTACGCCAACAACCTTCCGTTCCCTCTCTTGAATTCCCTGGTTATGTTGATATCTGTCTGTCTGTCAGTTGTTACGATAATTTGTGTTTATTTACGTTAATTTTCATTATGCGTTTGTTTATCGTACATAGTATAAGTGACGTATCAATCTCTCGTAAGTGAAGGAAGAAAGAACAACTAAAAAAACTCCTATCTTTATTCAGGACACACCTTCATAACTCCCTGTTCTTCTCTATAAACATTTACATCAAAAGACCGTAACAAGAATAGTTTATAATCTGGAGTAAAGACCAAATGTCAAATAGACTCTCATGTCAGCACCGTGGAAAGCGGTGACGTCATAACAAAATCCAATATTAAACGTCACAGAATGTTATGACATCACAGCACGTTTCGACCGTCTTAAGAGGGTTAATAACGTCAACTACGACCGTCTTGGAGGATAATGACGTCAACTACGAACGTCTTGGAGGATAATGACGTCTGCTAAGACCGTCTTGGAGGATAATGGCGTCATTTACGACCGTCTTGGACCATACCGATGTCAGGAAATGCTATGAAGTCATTTGTTTTGATTGTAAGCGAGTGGAAGTGTGACAACAGGATGCACGGGCGCCCCATCCACCAGCGGCGTCCTCAAATGACATCATCCTACACCTGCCAGAGCATTAGTCGGTGTCTTAACTGTGATGTGACACGACTTTGACATCTGTATTTCTGATTTTTTTTTTTATTTATTTTACTGAATGGCACTTCGAGACCCTGGCTATTCAAGCACTAACGTACATATTACAGTAATATATGTAAATTAGTGGCCACCTGTCTTATATCAACAAGTTGCTGTCCGGTGAATAAGGTAAAGTAATTGACCGGTATTGACTTTACTTAGCTATTGGCGTATATACTTTAGGTACAATAAAACAACTGTTTTAACAGTGAGAGTAACCCTGGCAGTTGACTACAAGATCAACTGTTTTTAACATGATTCTCAGAATTTGTTTTGTTGCCTGTCGAGATGAAGGAGTGTACACGGAGTGGATTTTGATTTAAGAACACCGGAGACGAGCAATCAAAAGCTTGGGTTGTTAGTGTGTAGCTGTGAGAGATGCGATCACTGGTGTGGTGAAGCGGCGACTTCAACACCAGCAGGAGAGGATACAACAACTGTCACCCTCACCTCATCCAGGGTCCGGGCAGCTCAGGGTACTTCTGGAATCATAAATGGGATTCCGGAAGTCATGATCCTGGGCAGTGTGGTGGTACGGCTCCTGGTACAGCCTGTGTTAACATGTGACCCTTGGTAGGACTCGTGAGGGTGACGGCGGCTGTGCTCCATCTGACGCTCTGGCTGGCCTCGGGGTTAATATTCGTTCTCGTCCACCTCCTCTTCTGCAGAGTCCATACCGACCTCCTCATAATCCTTCTCCAGGGCTGCCAGGTCCTCGCGGGCCTCCGTGAACTCGCCCTCCTCCATGCCCTCCCCGACGTACCAGTGGACGAAGGCACGTTTGGCGTACATCAAGTCGAACTTGTGGTCGAGGCGTGCCCAGGCTTCAGCGATGGCGGTGGTGTTGGACAACATGCAGACGGCGCGCGACACCTTGGCCAGGTCACCACCTGGTACCACTGTGGGTGGCTGGTAGTTGATGCCCACCTTGAAGCCCGTGGGGCACCAGTCCACGAACTGGATGGTGCGCTTGGTCTTGATGGAGGCGATGGCGGCGTTGACATCTTTGGGCACCACGTCACCGCGGTAGAGGAGGCAGCAGGCCATGTACTTACCGTGGCGGGGGTCACATTTTACCATCTGGTTGGCGGGCTCGAAGCAGGCGTTGGTGATCTCCGCCACTGAGATCTGCTCGTGGTAAGCTTTCTCGGCAGAGATGACCGGAGCGTAGGTCACCAGCGGGAAGTGGATGCGGGGGTAAGGCACCAAGTTGGTCTGGAACTCAGTCAGGTCAACATTAAGGGCACCGTCGAACCTAAGGGAGGCGGTGATGGAGGAGACAATCTGGCCGATGAGTCGGTTAAGGTTGGTGTAAGTTGGTCGCTCAATGTCCAGGTTCCTGCGGCAGATGTCGTAGATGGCCTCGTTGTCGACCATGAAGGCGCAGTCGGAGTGTTCCAGCGTGGTGTGGGTCGTCAGGATGGAGTTGTACGGTTCTACCACCGCCGTCGCCACCTACAAACAGAAACAGACTATAAACAACAAATTCCTGGAGCTCTGGACACGAGACATTGTAGTGAGACTCAAGTAAGACCCAACCACCGCCCGTCACGTGACAACACTGACGGGGAAGAAACAACTGACCAGATACTAGAGTAAGAGGGGAAGTTATCAGAGCTTAGCGGGAGCTGCTAGAATAGACCAAATAAAGGTACACATATGAAGGAGTATAAGGTGGTGATGGTGAGGTAACCTGACACCCGTGGTTCTACACACAGGGTTCACTGCCTTGTGTAATTTCAGCCGTAAGACTTTATATTTGATGATGGTGGTAAGGATGATGATGATAATGATAATAATGGTAGTGGTAAGGATGATGATGATAATAATGGTAGTGGTAAGGATGATGATGATAATAATGGTAGTGGTAAGGATGATGATGATAATAATGGTAGTGGTAAGGATGATGATGATAATAATGGTAGTGGTAAGGATGATGATGATAATAATGGTAGTGGTAAGGATGATGATGATGATGACCTGAGGGGTGAGACACTGACCTGAGGGGCGGGGTAGATGGCAAACTCCAGCTTGCTCTTCTTGCCGTAGTCAACTGAGAGTCTTTCCATGAGGAGGGAGGTAAAGCCTGACCCAGTACCTCCGCCGAACGAGTGGAAGATGAGGAAGCCCTGTAGGAGGTAGAGGTAGAGGTCGTACTCGAGGTATACCGAGGAATATATCATAAGAGTTTCAGTACAGTATATTCGGTAAAGGTATGACGGTACATAGGCGTTATACATACACAAATACTAAGAAATATAACGTGAAAATGTATTACTCTCTCTCTCTTTCTTTCTCTCTCCTACTTTCTTTATCTCTCTCTTACTTTCTTTCTCTCTTTCTATCTTTCTCTCTTACTTTTCTTTCTTTCCCTCTCTCTCTCTTTTACTCTTTCTCTGTCTCTCTGCCTTACTTCTTTCTTTCTGTCTTTCACTCTTTCTTTCTGTGCCTCTATCTATCTTACTCTTTCTCTCTCTCTCTTTCTCACCTGTAACCCGGTACACTGGTCGGCCAGCTTACGGACACGATCAAGGACAAGGTCAACGATCTCCTTCCCGATGGTGTAGTGACCCCTGGCGTAGTTGTTGGCAGCATCTTCCTTCCCGGTAATCAACTGCTCTGGGTGGAACAAGTACCGGTACACGCCGATCCGTACCTCGTCTGTACCGGGAAATAACAGGTTAAGATTAGAATAAGTACCGGTTAAGGTTTGAATAGGTGTAAGTTAGGTTAGTTTAGTTTAGGTTAGGTTGGGGTTAGGTCAGAGCAGGTAACGTTAGGTCAAAACAGAACAGGTACAATTTAGGTCTGCACAGGTACAAGTTAGGAGAGAACAAGTACAAGTCAGGTCAGAACAGGTACAAGTTACGTCACAGTTTGAAAGCTTCGCAAATGTAAAAAAATATATATATTAAAGTTACGCCTCTAAACTTTATCCGTTTTCTGTATATTCAAAGTCTTCCGTTTTCTACGCCGTTTAAGGAGTAACATATATATATTTTTATACACAGAAATACTATGTAACGAGAACTGATCAATACACAAGAGTAAGACTTTGGTAGGATTCTCTTATATAAAAAAATATTAATACTCAATACAATAAAGATAAATGTATAATACTTTAAATTTAGACAATACATCAAGACAAGCATAATTAACCATACTTTAATACAATAAGAACAAATAAACTGTCTTGTATTTGTCGTGACTCTAATGTATAAAATGACTTTGTGTACGTGCATAGTGACCTTAGTTCTTGAAATATAGAAACAAAAGCACAATAACAAATACAATACAAAAACAGTGACTGAGTGAATTAAGAATCTTTTACACATCTTATTGTTGAAGTTTAAACGCTGCAAGAGAGACGCCAACTGTTGCCAGCGGCGGATCAAGATTTTTTTTTTTTTAAGTGACAAACAAACTTTCATCTCCAAATACAGTTATACTCGATACCCGGAACTAACATTTACAACCAATAAACCAACACGCGATATTTATGATGTTGTAAAGTTAGAAATTATTGCCAGAAAAAAGTAAAAAAAAAAATATATTTATGATCAACTTTTCTATTTTAGGTCAGTACCCCCTTAACCTGTTCCTATGTTCTTAGTGAGGGGGAACATGGGTTAGGTTAGTGAGGGGGGATCATGGGTTGTGTCCGCCCACTGATGACTGTATATATAATGCGATTTACAATACACACAAAGCCCATGAACCAGGTGTTATCCCACAGACAGATCCAAAAGTCATAAGCAGAACTTCGTCAGTAGAACATCCAAGGTCCTGCACTCACCGACGACTGAGGGTTCCAGATCGACGAACACAGCCCTGGGGACGTGCTTGCCGCTACCAGTCTCGCTGAAGAAGGTGGTGAAGGAGTCGTCGTTGCCCCCTACGTACTTGTCAGAGGGCATGGTACCGTCGGGTTGTATGCCATGTTCCAAGCAGTACAGTTCCCAGCAGGCATTGCCCATCTGTACCCCAGCCTGACCAACATGGATACTGATGCACTCACGCTGTTCAGGGGGAGAGAGGTGGAGTTACTGGGAGGAGAGATTCAAAGGCGAAGAGGAGTAATTTGGAGAGGGTAAGAGGAGACTTTAAGGGGCAAAGGTGGAAGTTGGAGGTGCGAATGGGTGAGTTGGAGGGGCGAAGGGGTGAGTTGGAGGGGCGAAGGGGTGAGTTGGAGGGGCGAAGGGGTGAGTTGGAGGGGCGAAGAGGTATTTCACAGTGAAGAGAACATATTGATATGAATCACTTGAAGACTAACCACCAACACGATAACCTAAAATAACATAGTCTAACTTAACATAACTTTAATCTAACCTAACCTATACTAACCCTAACCCAACCCTGAAGTATCCTAATCCTAACCTAACCGCACCAAATAGCGTCAGGATGGTTAGTCGTCAGGTGAAATAAACTCGGGTGTCTCCTCTTCACGTGATCTCAGACAGTATTACAGGTGTCTGCAGGTGTACTTGTGAGGCTGAGGAACCGATCTGTGGGGTTTATGACACATGTGTTGAACCCTGATTCGAACCCTTGACACATGGGGCGATCATGCGGTGTGTGTGTGTGTGTGTGTGTGTGTGTGTGTGTGTGTGTGTGTGTGTGTGTGTGTGTGTGTGTGTGTGTGACATAAAGTGCATTACAAACACCACTACAACAGCTACAGATGTTTGTACGGTACACGAATGAAACCCTTATCAGACTGAACAGACAGAACAGGAAGACAAACACATACACAGATAAAGACAGATAGAGAGTCATAGAGAGAGGGAGGGAGGAGGGAGGGCAGACATGATTCGTGGAAGTCTTGGATAAGTTAATGTATAAGTGTAGTCCATGTAGGGAGTGTGGTGGTGGTGGGTGAGTGGGTAGGTGGGTGAGTGGGTAGGTGGGTGAGTGAGTGGTGGGGTGGGTAGTAGTGGTAATGCCGCCGCAAACCTGTTCTCTGCCTACCTCCCGCCTTGCCTGACTGCCTGACTCCCTCCCGCCTTACCTGACTGCCTGACTCCCTCCCGCCTTGCCCTGTGCCTGACTCCCTCCCTACTTACCTGCCTGCCTGTTTCTCGGCCTCGATGCCCAGGCCAGCTACCACCCCTACCACCTTGTCTGCCCCGGTTTCCACATTGCCAACTCAGCAGAAAACTCATCGACTTGATATCTCTCTCTCTCTCTCTCTCTCTCTCTCTCTCTCTCTCATCTTTATCATCCATCACTCTCCCTACGACCAGTTGCATCATCGTGTTGTGTCGTCCCAGGAGGCGGGCAGGACCAGTGAGGCGGTACAAAGCCTCGTCTCTTGAGGCTCCCTAATTGTTGTGCAGAGCGAGAGATGTCAGTAAGGAAGGGAGTCGGCCAGGAGGGAGCGGAGGGAGGTCAGCCGCCTCAAGGCACCACCCGGGCAACAAGCGTCCTCCAATTTCATGCAAACACGCCACATCAACTATTTTTTTTTTCTTCAGTGACATCTTATGCCTCTGTAGTAACAGGATCACAGGGTTCATACTTAAAGGGTTCACATGGTTCATAGAAGGTTTTCAGAGTATTAGGATGTAAGGTTCGTTGATTTATGAGGAAGATCATAGTATATAGGAAGAGGTTACAGGAAGAGAAGGATGAGGAGATGGGAGTCGTGTACCTCATAGAACATTACTGAGAGGTAGAGGTTGTGACGGTCAGATGCTGCACGGACGAGGAGGGGGAAGAGGAGGGAGAGAGGAGGAGGAAAAGAGGGGGAGAAAGGAGGAAGAGGAGAGAGAAGGAAGAAGCGGAGGGGGGACGAGGATAGTTGATATAGGAGGGAGAATGGGTGTTGGAGTGAGGGAGAGAGGGTGTTGGAGTGAGGGAGAGAGGGTGTTGGAGTAAGGGGGACCCGGGTCAGTTACAATCACCGTATTAAGCCAGTCCGCTGATAACACAACACACGCACCAGAATCTTGAGCAGACAGCAACTCTCTCCTACCTTGGGGGAGTCTACCTGGGGGAGGCTACCTGGGGAGTCTACCTGGGAGTCTACCTGGGGAGCCTTGGGGAGTCTACCTGGGGAGTCTACCTGTGGGAGTCTACTTGGGGAGTCCACCTGGGGAGTCTACTTGGGGGAGTCTACCTGGGAGTCTACCTGTGGGAGTCTACGGAGTCTACTTGGAGGTACCTGGGGAGTGTACCTGGGAGTCCACCTGTGGGAGTCTACTTGGGGAGTCTACTGGGGGTCACCTGGGAGTCTACCTGTGGAGTCTACTTGGGGGAGCTACCTGTGTCTACTTGGGGAGTCTACCTGGGGAGTCTACCTGTGAGTCCACTTGGGGGAGTCTATCTGAAGTTCACTTGGGAGTCTACTTGGGGCTCACTGAGGGAGTCTACTTGGGGGAGTCTACCAGGGGAGGCTATCTGGGATATATAGATAGATATGTAAACGGACAATAAATAGATAAATAGATAGATAGATAGATATAGGTAGATAGATAGATAGATAGATAGATAGATAGATAGATAGATAGATTGCTTAAGAGAAAGAGAGAGTGAGGTCAACGTCCTTACTTTTTGTACATAAAATTCAGATTTAGTTTTGCACAGAGACGGTGTGTGTGTGTGTGTGTGTGTGTGTGTGTGTGTGTGTGTGTGTGTGTGTGTGTGTGTGTTAGGTTATGTTGGTGATTGGTAGTTTTTAGTGTAGTAGTAGTAGTTTACTTTTCCTTACATATATTATTATTATTACTGTATTAATATCCATATCATTATCACTACTACTATTACTACTACTGCTACTATTACCACCACCACCACCATGTACTACCACCATTAAACACACACACAGATGAACAAGACACCACAGCAACTCGTCCAAGCTTACATCAGAGACAGAATTACGGCGTCAAGGATAAATAATTTGACCTCCGTGGTTTACATACCCGGGCAGCTGGCAACACAAGACCTACCCGCTACCCTTGGCTTCCCTGGGGTATTGAGAGAGTTCAACACAAGACCTACCCGCTACCCTTGGCTTCCCTGGGGTATTGAGAGCTTCAACACAAGACCTACCCGCTACCCTTGGCTTCCCTGGGGGTATTGAGAGCTTCTTAGTTAAAGCTCTTCTTCCTACCCACCCCAACCACCCACACCGATCCACCCGACCCACCTGTACAAAAAACTGAGACACAACAGGGCTTCCAATACCCTGACGGACAGTTCCCTTCTACATAACACCAACGTGCCCCTCCCAAAACCACACACAGTACTCATCTCCAACACATCCTCCAACACTATGTCTTAGAATGTGAGAAAAATAATAATAATATAGACCCCTGTGTGGTGGTGGTGGTGTGCAGCTGTAAGGGTTGAAGGGAACATTTAAGCCAGGGCGTGCAGCTGCGGCCTCTTCCCGACATAGAAACATCATTGACGACAGAAAGATACAAACATTGAGGAACTGGTGTAATGAATAAGCAGAATTAGTGTGGGGGTTAGGGGGAGGAAGAGTGGTATGTGGGGTGTGGAGGGAAGTGAGTACCCGCATGTGGGAGGCCGGCGAGAAGTGGGGTGGCAGGGTGGGTGGATGGGTGGGTGAATTAGGGGTGGTTATCGTTGCATGACCGGCTGAGAGACGTGGGGGAGAGGAGGATGAGAGAGAGAGAGAGAGAGAGAAGAGAGAGAGAGAGAGAGAGAGAGAGAGAGAGAGAGAGAGAGAGAGAGAGAGAGAGGAGAAACATTTTGCCATATAAAACAAAAACAAACACGAGGACAACACGACCACAACAGCCACTCAACAACAACAGGTAGAGCAGGAACCAATCACCGTGCCACATCCCCGACCTGTCAACCAATCAGATGACTCTACTTACCCCTTAACACACTCACGAGAGAACGTCATGAGTATTATGTTACACTGAGAATGAATAACGCATAACTCAGGTGTTTTTCATGAGGTAATAATAAAGGCAAAACACAGGTGAGAATAAGACAGGTATAGGTAACTTAGAACCATAAATTGAGACTCTACACAGGTGAGATAGATAAACAATATAGAGAGGAATAAACAATACTAATGAGATAAACAACAGACTAAGTACAAACAATAGACAACAGGTAAACAGTCCACAGGAGAGACAGATAAAACAACAGACAGGTAAGACAGGTAAACAATGCACAGGTGAGACAGACAGACGGGGACTCACCATGTTGAGGAGTGTGTGAGTGGTGTTGTCAGGGATACTGACCGGACTAGCCTCTGTCAAGCTAACCACTCACTATATATACTCAGGGGTCACGTGACCTCTGGGGTGTGGGGGGTACAGTGGGTGTTGGTGGGTGGTACAGGTGTGTGGGTGTTGTGGGGTGTGCAGAGGGTGTGGGTGTTGGTGGGGTGTACAGTGGTGTTGGTGGGTTGGTACAGGTGTGGGTGTTGGTGGTACAGTGGGTGTGGGTGGCAGTGGGTGTGTGGGTGTTGGTGGGGTGTACAGTGGGTGTTGGTGGGGTGGTACAGTGGGTGTGTGGGTGTTGGTGGGGTACAGTGGGTGTTGGTGGGGTGGTACAGTGGGTGTTGGTGGGGTGTACAGTGGGGCGGGTGGTACAGGGTGGAGGGTGGTACAGTGGGGTGTGTGTGTGGTGGGGTGTAGCAGTGGGTTGGTGGGGTGGTACAGTGGGTGTTGGTGGGGTGTACAGGGTGTTGGTGGGGTGGTACAGTGGTGTTGGTGGGTGGTACAGGGTGTTGGGGTGGTACAGTGGGTGTTGGTGGGATGGTACAGTGGGTGTGTGGGTGTTGGTGGGGGTACAGTGGGTGTTGGTGAGGTGTTGGTGGGTGGTGCAGTGTTTGCATGTACAGTATGTAATAATAAATAATAATAATTAACGATTTACTGAAAGAGCATGGGAGCCGGAAGGCTGAAAATATACAGTTACATAAATGGGGAATGGATCACTTGATTGACAAATAATATACTAGTAACATAAGTGATACAAATATGGTATATAATAACTAGGTGGGGAGGAGGTCAAACTACAGGGCATTGCAACATAGTGACAGTGCAAAAAGGTAAGATTAACTGGGAGTGAATACACTGGTTGATTACGATTAGTTGATAATTTTTACAATGGTTGGGACTGGGCTGTTCTGATAGCGACCAGTACGTGCTCGTATGGGCTGGATGTGATTGTGGTGTCGAACAGCAATTCGCGGACGAGGGATCTCGGGTGGAAGTAGGAGCCGGTGTCGATGATGGTGCAGAAACTTCTCACCAAATTTGCAGATGAGGTCGTGGTGATGGTCAGAGAGAGGCGAGAGGGTCAGTGTACTGAGCGCTTCTTGATATGTGGAGTAGGAAGGGGAGACAATAATCTTGCACTTTTTCTAGGTGTTTACGTTGTGTGGCATTTAGGGAGGAAGACTAGGCAGGGAAGCATAGGTGAGCTTGGGTGGGTGGGTGGGTAGGTGGGTGGATGGATGATGGTGGGTGGTACAGTGGGTGTGTGGGTAATAATGGGGTGGTGGTGGGTGGTAGAGTGCTGGCAGGTGTTGGTGGGTGGCACAGTGTGTGTTTTGTGTGTTGGTGGGTGGCACAGTGTGTGTTTGTGTGTGTGTTGGTGGGTGGCACAGTGTGTGCGCGTGTTGGTGGGTGGTACAGTGTGTGCGCGTGTGTTGGTGGGCACAGTGTGTGTGTTTGTGTGTTGGTGGGTGGCACAGTGTGTGGTTTGTGTTGGTGGGTGGTATGAGAGTGTGTGTGTTGGTGGGTGGCACAGTGTGTGTGTTTGTGTGTTGGTGGGTGGCACAGTGTGTGTGGTTGGTGGGTGGTGCAGTGGGCGTGTGGATAATGGGAGAGGTGGGTGGTACAGTGTGTGCGTGTGATGTTGGTGTGGGTGCACAGTGTGTGCGCGTGTGTGTTGGTGGGTGGCACAGTGTGTGTTTGTGTGTGTTGGTGGGTGGCACAGTGTGTGTGTGTTGGTGGTGGTGCAGTGGGCGTGTGTGATAATGGGTGAGTTGGTGGGTGGCATGCGCGTGTGTGTTGGTGGTGGTGTGTGTGTGTGTGTGTGTTGGTGGGTGGCACAGTGTGTGTGTTTGTGTGTGTTGGTGGGTGGCACAGTGTGTGTGTGTTGGTGGGTGGCAGTGGGCGTGTGGGTGATAATGGGGTGAGTTGGTGGGTGGTACAGTGTGTGCGCGTGTGTGTTGGTGGGTGGCACAGTGTGTGTGCGCTGGGTGGCACAGTGTGTGTGTTTGTGTGTGTTGGTGGGTGGTACAGTGGGTGTGTGGGTGTATTAGTGGGCAGTAATGTGGCGTGGCAACTCAGCACCAAGCAGCCAGTCACAAGCTATGATCTTTTAACTGTTGCTAAGTGACCTAAAAGTGGGCGGGGCTTAGTCAACAGATCATATTATATTAGCCAATAGCGTAAGACACTTCTGACGTCACGAGAGGTTAAAAAGATATAAAAAAGTCTCAGAAAATCAGTGACAACATTACCTAGTGCTTCCTACTGTAAACAGAATCACTTATGGTCGAACACCCGATGTACCCAGAGCGTTCTCAGTCCTTTGATTATATTAGTCTTTTTCTTTAATACCTTTTAGAAAACTCGACCGAGCTCTTAGGAGTGTCAATGTTTCCGCCATATGTCAACAAAATACATCCAGTCTTTTAAATGTTTGTCAAGACGTTTGCTAATAAGAATACAGTAATAACAATAATACTAATAATAAAAATAATAATATAATAATAATATTAATACAGTAATAATAATAATAACGAGACACACACAGTTAAGAGCAGGATCCCGTTACTGGTGAATTCTACCGTCTTGGACCCTGAAGTATGTTGACACGATCCCTCTGAGATATTTGTCCATGTGAGAATTACGACTTCTTTGGCCGGTCGTCGAAAAAATCAGTTGTGCTCGTCTCCCAGAATCGAACAAATTGACTCCTAAATGATGCTTGAAGTTACTGAAGATTTATTTTTTATTTTTACTCTCAGAGGGAAGAGAGGGAAGAGGAAGAGAGGGAAGAGGAGTAAAGAAGAGGAGGGAAAAAGTGGATGTTATGTTTTACTCGAGATGGGTCCAAAAAGTAAGGTTAATGGTGGTGCATCATTCCCGGCAGGTGTGTGTGTGTGTGTGTGTGTGTGTGTGTGTGTGTGTGTGTGTGTGTGTGTGTGGAGAAGTAGTGTTAAGATTCTGACCAATACTTTGCACCATCTTTTACAAAGCTTTGATCACTGGTAGAGGGGCGGACGGACTCTCAGACAGAAGGAAGAAGATAAATGGAACAACAAAACACCAGGAAGGACGCTTAGATAAACGGACGGACGCTCAGGAGAACAGACAATAAGTAAACACAGATAAGAATTGAGGTGATAAAGAGGTGAGGTGAGATGAAGAAAGATGAAGTGAGGTGTAACTGAGGGGTTAAGATAAAAAAAAAAAAGTAGAGAACTGAAATAAAAACCAACTTTCACAAATGCATAAGAGTGAGAGAGAGTGAACACAAGAGCCATTAACGCAGGACCGTGAGCTAACACCATGTGGTCGTCATGGAAAGGAACCAAACATACCATGAAAGGAAATAAAGACCGGATTGACTTTTAAGAAATTCATCCACTTGAACAAACACACTCTAACATTCTCAACCCACATCTGTTTATGAGGGTGATTACAGCTGTCTACCTCACCTGTTGGATAGACTTAAAGAGTTTCCCTTTAAAAGACACTAAAAGAGATACGACAAACAGAGTTATTTAAATACCAGTTATATAAAAACCAAAACAATTATACAACACATTATCATCTCTGTGTTTATGACCCAGTGATAATGCCTCCTCTCTCACCTGTTGGTTTACCTTCGCTATTTCTCATCATTAATACTATTCCACAAGACTAATATTACAGGTTTACGAAGGGTTGAAGGATAAATTATAATGCGGTGGAGGATTGGGTGGGGTAAGTTAATTCTGGGAGGTACAGCAGATGAAACAAAAGACCATCGAGGGAGGCAGCAACACCATCCTCAACTCCCCCGCTAGATGGCAACACTCACTTACTTATTCTTGCTTACAGTGTCCAGTTCTACCTCCCACCTCTTCTTCCTCCCTCCCCTAGCCTTCCTACTCCTTTCCCAAATTCTTCTTCTTTCCCTCCTCTTCCTCTCCTCCCTGCCTACTCTCTCCTTTACTGCTTCCAATCTTCAATCCTCTCCACTCCCTTGCCTCTCCTCCTCCTTTATACCCCCCTCCCCTTACTTTCTACAACCCCTCCTCCTCCTCCCTCCTCTTGTAACTCCTCTCTTCCTTCTTCGACACCGCCTCCTCCTCCTCCTCCTCGACGTGTGGGATCTGTCTACTGTCACGTCAAACAAAGAGTCAAGAATCCTTAAATGGTTCCTCACTGTTCACTCTCATAGTTCATGACAAACCAGCGGGAGGGGTGGAGGGAGTGAGGGAGAAGGTGGGGTGGAGGAGGAGGGGAGAAGGGTGGTGAGGAGGAGGGAGAGAGAGGAAGGAGGGTGAGGGAGTGAGGGAGAAGGGTGAGGAGGAGGAGGGAGAAGGAAGAGAGAGGAAGGGTGGTAAAGGAGGGAGGGAGAAGGAAGAGAGAGGAAGGGGTGAAGGAGGGTGGAGGTACGGGTGTGTGGGTGAGGGAGAGGAGATGAGGAAAAGGAAAGGGGAAGAGAGGTGGACGAGAGAGAGAGAGAGAGAGAGAGAGAGAGAGAGTGGTCGTCACAGTCATCACTAAATTCCCACACCATACAGCAACCACCACCCCCCTCCACCCCCACCACACCCTCCCCCACTCCCTCCATCAATCATATATCCTCCTAACCTCACAGCTCTCTCAACTAACCTAACCCAACCTAACTCAACTCAACCTAACCAAACCCAACATAACATAACCAAACCCTAACCTAACCTAACCAAACCTAACCTAACCTAACCAACCCAACCAAAATAAATACACAAAACACTAAATTTCCCATCGAACAAAAAAAAATAAAAACCATTACTCAGCATTAAATTCTTGAATATATAATGACGAATAAATAATATACCATTGAGAATTACTATGGTATTATGAGTCAATGTTGAATATTTACTCGTGTGAGAATAATAGGTGATGTCTTAATTTTGATAATAGATACGAGAAGTAATGATACAGAGGAGTGTAGTGTGTGTGTGTGTGTGTGTGTGTGTGTGTGTGTGTGTGTGTGTGTGTGTGTGTGTGTGTGTGTGTGTGTGTGTGTGTGTGTGTGTGTGTGTGTGT